GTGTGTGTGTGTGTGACCTCTGCAGACTTTACATTCAGCTCTGACTCTAACTGCTGACGACAGCTTTGACCTCCAGGTTTTTAGTTGCGTCACAGATCTGTTTCTGTTTCCAGCAGCTGAGACTCTGCTAGAGCAACATCAGAGGTCCGTCTGAACAACAATAACAATAATAATAATAATATAATAGTCTAAATATAACACCTAGACAAAAGTATGTTTATTATACAGCTGAACAGATAATATGTCCACCTCGACGTCCTCGATGATACGTTTTCTGTCTCAACGTCACGACGTCAGACGCTGTGACAGCAGACGTGGTCGAACCCGTAGGACAGCGTGGAGACTGTACATCAACATTGTGTAACTTTACCACCTCAGAGCTCCACAGTCATGGTGATGAGGGTGAATGGCTTAAATGTCTCTGACTTCCGTCTCCGGGTCAGAGACCGCCACACACCGCCAACCATTTTATATGTTCGTTAAAGAACTACAAGGCGTTAAAGATGATGTAAATTATTTTTCTTCTGAGTTTGTTTTCACTGCATCTGTGTGTGTGTGTGTACTCACCAACCACAGTCAGCAGCATGTTGTCGAGCAGCAGAGCGACACAAACCACCACCAGGACGAGTCTGGGAGAACCTCGACTCTGATGGAGCCACGCCATGTCTAAACAAACACACAGACACACACACTAATGAAACACTCATATCTGCACTGCTGCTGTAATATTGATTGACTCGAGCTGAACTGATCACATCATTTGCAGCCGATCAGCTTCATTCATTAAAGTCTGTGTAAAGTAAATTCAGTGATTGTCCTAAAATAGTTGTTGGACCATGAAACACTTTTACATTTAAACATTTTATTGGCTCAGACCATCAACAGTTTGTACCTTTATGTTGTGTAATAATCAATATACAGGATGAGCTTTAATCTCTCAGCCTTTCCTGTAACCGTCTTCTCTTCTGTACGTCAGCAGCGTCGTTTTAAAGCACATTACATCCTGTTACTGATGATGGGACATTGATCACGTTGCATTGTGACTCTTTACTCTCTTTTTATTCAAAAAAATCCATCCAACATTTTACAGTTTTTTTTAACAGAAAAGATTTTTAAGAAAGAAAATATAAGATATAAACTGACTTTATATAATCTAACATATGGAGATTTATACTGTTAAATGTGTCCAGGTCCAGTCTGGAAGTCAACCTCTCCTCAACCTTCAGTCCGAGGGACATTCAATATTTAACACTATCGGCCAATAATAATAATAACAACAATAATTAATTATCATAAAACTTAATATATGAAAGTCAAAGTATGTTTGTTTTCTGATGAATTTTACTAGAACAATGAATAAAGAGTCAGAACTCAGTTGGAATATTAAATCTGGAGCTTTTTCTGATGGATGCACAATAAAAGTTGTGCAATAATTTCCTTAAAATAAAAACTTTGATGCCTTAAAACTCCTCTATAGCAAGTTCAGGGTTTGGCCCGTGCAACGTAAACACAGCTAGCTTAACTGGATTAATGGACAAACAGCAGCAGAGAAATGAATGAAAGCTGAACAGTCGGAGCGTTTTTGTTCTGTGGCCTCGTTGTGTTTCTGTAATAAAGAGAGAGCTCCTTCATATCACATCTGATCTTTAATAAAACAACAAGACGCTCGGTTGTTATCAACACTCCAGATATTAGTGTGAGCCCGCACACTCAACCTCCACGGCTGTAACAAACCTCTGATCTGGAGTCAGTTTCTCTCAGAGGAGATTCAACCAGTTTTATCCTGAAATATCTCAATGAATTAGAACTTTATTGATCCTCTGACTTTCACTCTGGCGCCATCGTCAGGTCAACAGTTGTATGTGTTGAAATAACGACATTCCCAGCAGCCTCAGCTCTACTTCGGTGCCCGATCGGTACTTTCATCATCAGCTCCGGATAATTCAGAATGTTATTGATTAATTGATTTAACGTCTCCTGGATGCAGTCGGATGAGGTTTATACGGTGGCCGACAAGGGCAAACGCGCCGCAAACGGCAAAACGCTGCAAACACGGGAATGATGCAAAACCAAAAACACACAAACACATAAATCAAATGCAACAGGAAAATGCAGCAAATAACAAAAACACACAAAAACCAAAACAGCTGCAAGAGAAAAACGCTGCAAGTAGTAAACACTTGGCCATAATCTTTTATAATATTATAGAAGAGCAGCATAGTTACGTAGCTAATGTTAGCATGCTTTAATTTAATTTAACGTTAGTTTTCACTCCCCCTAGTGGCCTGGCGCACTTCTGTTTTGTGGAGTGAATTTGCAGCGTTTCTCTCTTGCAGTTGTTTTGGGGTTTTGTGTGTTTTTGGTATTTGGAGCATTTTTCTTTGGCGTTTATTTTGTGGGTTTGTACCAGGGGTGTGCATCTCTCCAATAAA